GTGTATTTATATCTCTCCTGTCATTGGACCGAGTCGCTCGTGATATGACCTGTTTCCACAGACGCGGTAGCTGGATTGTGCAGCATGCGGTCGGTGCTTAAGCATTGGGCGTGAATGATGTTTGTCGGTTGGCCGATGGGTGAATAATCGCGCAGGAATTGCGTATGTGCCATTAATGAAAGGAATGGTGGATGGTAAGAAGGAAGAGAAAGAGTAATAAAAGTTATGGAGGATAATAAACTTGGCGCTTGCCAGCTACTGTTCCTCTTCGACAATCTCAACCGTTCTCGAGTAGTAACTGACCTACGCCATACCAGGTTGGTTAAAACTGTGCAAAAACTGGGAGTAGGAGTCATTTCCAGAAAAAGAAACAACCCGTTATTCATCTGGCGTAACAGGTAAACGCGGATGTCATCCAGCCCATATAACATCCAGGATGTCGAGGCGAACGACGACGATACGATGCTTTCTCGCGAAAAATCTTCTAAAGAGAATCGAGTAGAGGCTTCGATAAACGCGGATACTAGGCTTATTATTAAATACCTAATAATAGGTTAGATATAGGCGGAGTTGGAAAAATTCCAAGCGGCTGCCCACTAACGACAATCGTCGTTAAGAAGGTGTTCGATGACTCATTGATAGATTTTCTTCGCTTCTCACCCTGCGCATTCCTCCTTTATTGCGTGGTTCGCGCTGTACGTCGATTATTTTATAGCACGTCGCATAAACACGGTGAACCGAAGCGGAGTCTGAAATCTGAAATATGGCGGCTGTTGTTCTAAATCGTTTAGTTAATTTAACTAGGAGAGAGGGGAGAAAGGAAGGGGAGGGGGAGGGGCGGTGAATAGGAGAGGGCAAAGGCTAGGATATGCTAATTAGATTACAGGCGGGTGTATGCCGGTTATGCGAAAATGAAAAGACCAACCATAAGTACGAAACCAGTCCCAAGACTGGACTGTTCTAACGCAATTCAACGTTGGCATTCTATCGTTAATGCGATGCATTTTTCACGGTCCGTTCGCCGCTATTCAAAGCTGTAGAAAGATCGTTACGAACGTTCGTTCTATATAGCGAAGTAGAAATGTTACGTCGTAATTAAGTGCATGCAGAGAGATGATACAAACATCTGATCGAAACTCGGTCAACTCGGTAGTGAATGTTCGCGTTATATCTTGGTTCGTTTGGAAAAAAATTATTATTAATAGCCATTAGGTTGTGACAGGCCTACTTCTTGCACGTGGCTGGCCCGCGATGAAAGCGCAGTTACGATTAGGACATTAAACGATTAATTATTCGCATTGTTTAGTTAGTCAGAGATGCATGCGCAATCTCTATCGGTTGAAAATTAGATTCGAAGCAGCGTAAAACCTTGCGAAGATTTTTGTATTGTAGTTGGAAATTTGTTGGAAAACTTTTTAAAAAAAGAAAAAGAAAGTATATTGTATGGATTGTAATGAAAATTTTAATAGAAGGGAAAAAGTTTGGTTATTTAACGAGTGTTCGAGCGTTGAAGAATTTTTTTTGAAGGGTAACAATTTAACTTCGATTGTAAATCAAACGGGTATTACGCTCTCGGGAATTAATTGGTTTTCGGTGATGTTTAAATTTGTACAGTGTTATTTAAGAATGGATTTATTTGACGGAAATACGAGGTTTTTTTCATTCTTACAAAAAAAAAAAAAGTGATTGATATTTTAAAAAATTTTTGCTGTCACGCGAAGAAATAGTATTTCCTTTTTTTATTTCCATTGCTACATTGTCAAATTAAATTAATGTCAATGAAACGTAAAAAAAAAAAAAAAATAAAATAAAATTAGTAAAGGAACGGTATAACATTAAATATTAAAATTTTTAACATTTAACGAAATTCTAAGTATTAAATTATTAATAATTTATTAAAAAACCACGATTTATTTCCAGACAGTCTAATATCATTTCTTCTTTTCGATCTTTCAAATTAATGGAAATTTACCTACGCAATCAATTTATTATAACTCTTTAGACGTTCTTTATATTTGATTCATAATCGATATCCGCGTAAATTCGAAAAATAAATATTCGAAATGACACATTTGAATATCTTTTCGAAAAGTCGTAAACAGCCAAGAATATATGCAATTTCGTTCGCTTTCATTCGGACATTGTAAATACATATATAATCTGTATATGATATTACGGGAGAAACCGCGCGTTTTTAAAAAAAAACTTAAGCACCAACAACAAGCTTTTGAATTTATGTTAATTGAGATATACATTTTATCCCATTTTATCACTTTTTATCGACTCGTAAAGCCTATGCTCGTCGACTTATAACACGCTACTTAGTCTATTATTGCATGTTCAAAGCTAGTTACCGATGAAAGTTGCAATATTTGTAACCGCATAAACACGGAGTATGCTTTAAACATTCGTTTAACGCGATAGCTAAAAAAAAAAAACGAGAAATCAAGCGACCTTCCTACCAATTAAATTATTCAGACCGGGCATAAATTTTTCTCCGCAAAAATTAAAAAAATAATCGCGCTTTTAAAAATTACGTAATAAAAATATTCGCCGAATTACTCCTCCTAATTAAATCATTTCGCGTTGTTAACAAATATTTTCTTTCCGCTTCTTAATTAAGCCGCGCAAAACGAATAATCAGAACGGAGAGAATCGATCCAGAACCAAACACGCGTCCCCTTTTTCTATAATTGTTTGGCCCGTTGCATAATGCCGTTTGCATCGCATTGTCGACGGTGAACGCGCCGTAGGTTTCCTCGCCCTTTTAATTGCCACTCCTACACAACACCCTTATCTTATCTCTCAGCCGGCCCAAGTTTCTCTCAGGAAATCTGGTACAGCATTGGCGAGGTCTCCGCTCACCGCGCGTTTAACGCACCGCGTGGGCGTCGCGAATTCTTCTCTCCCAATCAATTTTCCCTTCCAAATTTCATCTCGAAATGATCGCGCTTTTTCGCATAAACTGACCAATGCACGATAATGTCC